GAGTAGAGGAGAGGTCAGAAGAGCACAGTTTAGGTCGTTTCCATGGAGACAGGCATTTATTGGCGTCTATTTCTGATATGAGCTTCAATGGAGATAACTTGGTACACTCTGACTCATCTTTCTGGATTATTCGACGGATCTGAAAAAACAGAAATATGCTGACATGTTTTATATTATTCAAGTTAAACCCACATTAAATGTAGAATTAAACATCCATAAACATTTTTATAAACACATATACCTTTTTAACATTTGAAATCTGGACAAACTTGTCAAAATCATATTTATTCACAGTGTATGTCGGGTCTAATGCCAGTTTTAACTTTTAAAATACCTGTTGATCTCTTTCTTTCTCTAGTTTACGTTGTTTCCATAGTGACCTCCCCCTCATCGGAGCCTTGTTGCTGCTAGGTTTTCTTAATGTAGAACGGTTGTTACTCAGTTTCCTAAAATATTGTAGATACATGTAATTTTCAAATTTTCAATCTGTGATATAATATGATTATATGACTATCAATTGATAAAATAAAATCAAATAATTTATTTATAGTGAAAAATATCATTCATATCTCATAAACTTCTTTAAGGGCCCTCTCTACACCAGTGCAAAATATTTTTTGGACATTGAGAAAATTTTATTGCATAAAGGAGCTAATATTGTGCTTATCTATCTAATTTTCAATGTATGGAGCGTGGCATTTACCCCCGGGAAAAATGTTCAAAGACAACACAGTATTAGTAAATAGATATCACTGTTAATTTATACTCCAATAGAGAAAATACATGTAAATAACATGTTCAGTTAATTTATCCTGGCCTTTTAAAATGTTGTGAATACTTGAATTGATTACAAATTGAGTAATATTGTGTAAATGTATATTTTTTAGAATTTAGTTCTAAGGGCAGATCACTCTAACTGCAGAAAAATACCTTAGAATCAGAACTCTTTAGTGTGCAGTGTAGAGAGGTTTCTTAAACAAAGAAATTTAAAAGTTTAGCAACACAGATGCACACATGTATCAACATTCAACTAAATCAGAAATAATCTGTCTGCAGATTTTATCTGAACCTGATGGCTGAATCCAGCTCTTTAATCCAGCTTTTCATGTCATCTGGATCATTTGAAAACAGCAGTAAACTCTCATCTTTACAGGTAATCTGTAAAATACAAAATTTCAAACTTATAAAAAATTACCTTAAAACTGAATTAAAACTGAAAATGACATCATATGACTATCCTTAAGACAATGTTATCCACTTATTTAGAAACACTTTCAATTTATGTTATAAACAAATATCATTTATATATATATGGTATATATATGGTCAGAATCTAACCTTGAACATGCCCCCTGCCTCTGTCTTTTCCTGTGATCCCCGTTTGGTGCCCCCAAACACGGTTTCCAGTTGGCAGTGTTTCAGTGGCAGCACACAGCAGCAGGTGTAAGAGTTAGTAATACTGTCCAGTAACCGCGGCTTCCCGTAAAGCAAGATGTCAGAGAACAGGAAGAACATCCTGTCGTGGGGCTTTCCACCTCTTTTGGAAACCTGTAAAAATAAAGAGATTTTGGTGTGGTTCTTCAGATGATAAAAAATTTATTACAAGTTCATGACAAGGGAAGCATCCAATTTCAAACTTTCACTCCAATTAGAAGTTTGACATCATTACCAATAGTATCAAAAAATATAAGAATAATGTAACTAGTGTTATTTTATTGCTGTATTACCGGTATTTTGTCTTCAAACCAAAATCAAAACACTACGAGAATATGAAAAGTTCAGGGATGTTGCAGAAATTCCTGTTTACCAAGTAACTGACTTAACTAAATATTATATAGAAGAAGGTTAATTATAAATATCAGCCTGAATTGTTGGATTAACCTTAAAGTTTACCTTTTTCAGAATCCCTTCCTTGATGAACTCTCGGCCTGGAGTGAGGATTTTGGGTGCAGACTTGTCAAAGCACTTCTGTATGCTGAGCATTTTCTGGAAGTTCTCATGAAAATACCCCCCGCTGGGTTTTTCTGAAGCAAGTTTTTTCCATAATAAAGATATGTATCAAACATGAATTATGAAATTTTTCTTCCAGCGACCTTGAAATTCCCCAAATAACCTTGGGTCATGGGCAATCTTTGTGTGAAATGACAACCTACCAAGTTTATCCATAAGAAAGATATCGACAGGACAAGAATTATGAATTTTTTCTTTCAGTGACCTTGAATTTCCTCAAATGACCTTGGGTCAAGGTCATGACACACCCTTGGGTCATGTGCAGTCTTTGTGTGAAATGAGAACCTACCAAGTTTACCCATAAGAAAGATATGGACCAGACACAAATTCTGAATTTTACTTCCAAATTCCAATGACTTTGAACTTCCCAAAATGACCTTGGGTCAAGGTCATGACACACCCTTAGGTCATGGGCAATCTTTGTGTGAAATGAGAACCTACCAAGTTTATACATAAGAAAGATATGGACAAAACACGAATTATGAAAATTTTCTTCAAGTGACCTTGAAGTTCTCCAAATGACCTTGGGTCAAGGTCATGCCACATCCTTAGGTCATGGGCAATCTTTGTGTGAAATGAGAACCTACCAAGTTTATCCATAAGAAAGATATGGACCAAACACAAACTATGAAATTTTTCCTCTAGTGACCTTGAACTTCCCCAAATGACCTTGGGTCAAGGTCATGACACACCCTTGGGTCATGGGCAATCTTTGTGTGAAATGAGAACCTACCAAGTTTATTCATAAGAAAGATATGGACCGGACACGAATTATGAAATTTTTCTTCCAGTGACCTAACTTCCCCAAATGACCTTAAGTCAAGGTCATGACACACCCTTGGGTCATAGGCAATCTTTGTGTGAAATGAGAACCTACCAAGTTTATTTATAAGAAAGATATGGACCGGACACCATTGCACAGACAGACGGACAAGGTGATTCCTATATACCCCCCCAAACTTTGTTTGCGGGGGGTATAAAAACATTCAAAGTACACTCAAATTTCTAATAAACTTCACTATCCTAAATGCCTTGGCCATATGCACTGCTGGGAACAATATGTTAAACATTTTTTCAAACTGTGTATGAGAAATAAGATAACATACAGACTTTACATGTAAGTGTGCACTTACTTGAGCCTGAGAGGTGACTGAGGCACTAGTATTGAGGAGGTTATCCATGCCTGTATCAGAGTAACCTCATACGATGGCAGGTGCTCTGACAACTGTTTCAGAAAGCCAGTCACAGACAGAACTTGTGACAGGAAGCGACTTGATATGCTTAATAAAGATATAGGAATGCAAAATAAATCACTATTGTAAATAGAATCATTAAATAAGCTTGGAATTTATAATGATGATGTAAAATTACTTTATGATATTTAAGGAATGATGATTACCTTTTGTTGATTTGTTCACTTGTAGAAAACTTAACAATGCTGACAAAATCATCCGTTTTACTGCAAAAATATTCAAAGTTGAATAATTTAACCAAAGTTTCTGTAAAAAAAACATATTCAATATACAGACAAGAGAAGCAACTCTTAATGGTAACCTTAGCTGGAGTCTATGCTCAGTCAAGGACTGTATGTCTCTTGTTTTTTTGTTTCATTGCTTCTTAAGAAGACTTTTAAATGACACTTATTTTTTCCATTTAATATCAACATCCATTTGGCTCAAGTGAGCTTTACTCTTGCACAAAAATCAGACCTAGAGATAGGATGGATTCAACAACTGTCTGACTTACCAGTCAATGGACATTAAGCACAGTGCTGCTAGCAGGTCAGCACATGGTTGTGGTGCTGTTAGACTACAGCACAGTGTTCTCAGTGATGGAGAAATGTTGGTCATCACTGCAGAGTACATAGCTGTAATGGTAAAAATATCCATTTCATTAAGCTGCATTACAGTATATAATAGCAGATAGGTTAATTACTGTAAATACGCATTTTTAGTAAATATTGTAGTTCTGACAATATTGATGCTATAATAGCTCTATATGTATATTTATGCCCCTGCAAACGAAGTTTCGGGGGTATATAGGTTTTGTCTTGTTCGTCCGTCTGTCTAGCTGTCTGTTTGTCGGCAAAAACTTTAACCTTGCCCATAACTTTTGATTTAGTGGAGATATGACTTTCAAATTTAACATGTGTATTCCTTGTTACAATACCTTTCTTTGGGTACCATCAAATTTGACCTTCTGACCTTGGAGTTTGACCCTCTTTCACACAAAAATTCTTTATCTTTGGCCATATCTTTTGAACAGTAGATACCAGGACTTTTATACTTCATATGTGTATTCTTTGTGGAAAGATCTTTCATTGGATAGTAATGGATACAAAAAACTTTGACCTTTTGACCTTGAAGATTTTCGTACTTATGAAAAAACTTTAACCTTGGCCAACTTTCATATTTCTTAATTGTATTTCCAGTGAAAACAACCTACTTTAGGTACCACATTATTAAATTTGCATTTTAAAAAAGTTTAGTCTTAGCTATGTTGCCATACGGGGGCATGTGTTTCACAAACACTTCTAGTTGTAAACTATTACACACTTCAGTGTCATACTGTAATAAATGTACACTACATAGGGAATGCAAACAACAAAATTTGAAATATTTTCCAACTAGTTTCTTGGCTTTGTCGATATTACAAGTAGAAATATATATTTTAAAACATTTGATTTATTGTAAAGAAATTATGATTCCTCTTTAATCAAGTGTTTGGTTTGGCTTTGTCTATTAATGCACAAATAAACAGTTTATCTTTGTCCATACCTTTTTAACTAGGGCTTTCATACTTCACATGGTGTTATCCTTTGAAGAGACCTTATAATTCTTTTAGTATCGACATATTTGACCTCCTTACATGTGAGTTTAAGTCAATTTTGCAAAATTTTACATATCTTTAACCTAACAAAATAACTTCTGAATCATTGTGTTAAGGTTTTCATACCGTAAAAGTGGAAATTTTAGCAAGAAGCAAATTTAGCAATTTCTCCTTAAAAACTGTTATTTCATTTTTAGCAAGAAGTAATTTTAGCGATATTAAAATGCTCACTCAAGAAGCTAGTACAAATAAAACAATTTATTTTTAGTGATATTCAAATTTTGCGATCTCAACAGTCTCGCTAATAATGCTAAAATTAAATCCTCACTAAAATTTCTACTTATACGGTACTTCATGAAGGTATTCCTTGTAAACATAGTAAAAAGATCTTCCCTTTTTTGAACAATCGACCTAGGCATCTGACCAAATTTTGAATAAATTTCAACTTTTCATAGCTATTGAATGGTTGGAGCTAGAGATTTTATATTTCACAAGTGAATTTCTTGTGACGAAACCTTCCCTTGTTATCATCAATTCTGACCTTTTAATTGTCACCTTTGCATTTGACCTACGGCACATATATTTACCTGAGTTTGGTGCAGTCATGACAAAACCTCTTGTGACAATATCTCTGCAATTGAAAAATGCAAACATTATAATAATTATCCTAATTTTTTTGATCACTTACTGTTGCTTGAGAGACATTTTAAGTACATATAAATATACAATTACTTAAATTCATACTTTATTTTCATTACATAATACAAAATAAGAAGAAATATCAAGGGTAAAACCCTATATACTCATCTCTCTGACAATCCAGACAAATCATATATAGCAAATTTATCATCTGTCCTGATCTAAGAATTCTTACCTAAACTTGCAGAGTATTTCTTGTAGGGTAGTAACTATTCCACTTATTTCTGAGCTTCTACATGAGTCCAGAAGTTTTCCAAAACCTTCTCCTTAAAGAAAAATTTCAAAACATTACAAATGATGCAAGTGTTCAAGCAAAATTCAGAAATACTAAGCAAATTATGAATGAACAACTTTAATATGCAAACCAATCATAACATTTTTATATGTATAAACACGAAACAAAAATGATGTGTTAGTGTTAAAGTTAATAAATTTCCACTATTGTGAATTGTACAGGAAATTATATTTAACAAGTAATTTCACTTATCTCTTTTATACAAAATCATTTAAGAATGGACTGACTTTAAAAATGACCCACCGATGAATAAATACTGTGACAGTTCCACATCACTGCTTCTTTCAAATACTTCAGCAACATGTTCCATGTAAGCACAAACCACAGTCCAGTGACTGTAATGTCTCATCTCCTCCTGACCTAATTTTCTAATAAATACAGAACAATGAATCAGTGTCTCCACTTAGTGCTGATAATTTACACAAAGAAGACTTTTTCCAAACACAGCAATAATTTAACACAGAATCACACATTAATATCAAATAATCTTCTTTTTACAATTTGTAAAGAAAGGTGGTGACGTACATGGCAGCCTTGTTGAAATCCTCGACTAATTTTTCTGACAGTGTTGCCACATTGATGTTTTTCTGTATGTACAATAATACAGCAGCAAAGCGACCCTTCATCAGACAATTAAAATTTCTGAAGCTGTGTCCTCACACACTGATTAATCACTAAAAATGATATCATATCACTGAACTTACACATTCTGGTGATCTAAAATATGAACAACAAATTTCATTACTGAATAATAAATGGCATTATAAGATTATTTTAGGTCCACCCTGATGCCCAAACCAAAGCTGGATGTTTTTCACAATACATCTGCTCATAAAACAGTTTATATGCTTAATGTCCAAGTGGAAAGGACAATATATTTTAAAGATAAGAGTAATAGTTTCAGTTACTAACTAGTATCACTGGTATCTAGACCCTAGGGTTCCTCCAGAACCCACAAGATATGCATTGCACAAGATTAGTATTGGGCATGAGTAAATTAAAAACATATTCAAAGGCTAAACACACCTTCCATTTATGACTGACTTAGCCCTGCCTGTGACCTACACCCATGAACTATACACCTGCAAAAATTTAATAATATCATAAACTTGTACTTACAATTTCTTCGGTGTCTGCTGTAAGAGCCAAACTCAAAAAGAGGCAAAAAAAGTTATGTAGCCCAATGTCTGTAAGCTCCTGCATACGCCTAATGTGGAACTTTGAGAAAATCCTGTAATTAGAATAAAAGTGTGCCCTTCAAAATTACAGATCCACCTAAATAGAAAAAAATATTTTCAATTTGTGACTTATCAAAAGGACTCCTGAAATGACATGACATGATGGTTTATTTCTAACAGGTGAAAATTCAAAATTACATGGCAAGTTACTGTGTATAGCTACTGTTTTACATATTATATTTACAGAATGTTTTAAAAAACTTTGAAACTTTGAAACTTTTTATTTCACTAAAGCCCCGACATGGGGTATGTTAGTACAACAAGAATTTAACAAATGAACAAGTAAACATGTGAACAGTTAACATGATAAACAAGAAAAAGATCTTTTTAGTTTTACATCCATTTTTAACAATTTAAGCAATTAATTCATATCATAATCTTACCCCTGAATCGACTCCTGGTTGACAACATGTTGAATATCAAGAATTTGTTTGCAGCTTTTCTGCACGAAGCTAACTT